ACCCTAAATCCTAAACCCTAAACACACACACCCCCAAATGGGCCTCCCGGAGTTGACGGTCTCTGCTTGGGCGTGGGAGCCTGGGTTCTTCGGGCTGTGGGTCTTTAGGGTTTAGGGGCTTTTGGGGTTGGGATTTGGGGTTTCGGGTCTGGGATTTGGGGTTTAGGGTTTGGGTTTAGGGTTTGGGATTTGGGGTTTAGGGTTTAGGGTTTGGGATTTGGGGTTTAGGGCTTTTGGAAGCATCGTCGTTTCCTGCTAAGTTCAAGGAGACTACGGGTGGGGAGTTTAGGGTATATAGGGCTTCTATAAGGCTTCCATGAGGTATACAGACCTTCTATAAGGCTCCTATAACAATACCTACCCACCTGAAAATGTCCTAGACCTAGGGGCTTTTGGGTTTGGGATTTGGGGTTCAGGGGGATACGGTTTTATATGGAGCTTCGTGATACGATTCCAATGCGGGTTGTTTAGTGAGTTTAGTGTTCTCCCTATGTCGATAGTGTACGTCTGCGCGTCTGTCTGTCTGTCCGACCAGAGCGAGAGAAAGAGAGAATGCATGTGTGTCCGGGTGTGTGTGTGTGTGTGCGTGTGTCTGTGTCTGTCTCTGTGTGTGTCCGGGTGTGTGTGTGTGTGTGTGTGTGCGCGCGCGTGTGTGTGTGGTTTAGTCATTCCTCGGTCTCAGAAGCCAAAGGGTCCAATGTACCTGTATAGTAGAATGTAGGGTTTCCATATTAGGAACTACTATTATGGTTTAGGGAAGTATCCCCATAACAGTACATAGGACCCTTTGGGAAGGTTCTGCACCATCGTTTTCCGCAGCTTGTCAGAGGTCGTCGCGAAGATTCACTTGACTTGCTCTGATAGCTGTCAGGCTGTCAGTTGAAGTCTTAATTTGACTATCGGGCTTTCCAGGGATTGACTCTTAGTCTTGATCGAAACCCTAACTCTCAAAGGCAGCCGCTATGAGTCACTGGCCTGCTCGTCCTGGTTCATCATAACAAGATCTAGCAAGGCAAAGAGGGGCGCATCAAAAGGCTCAGATTTGTTCGAGATGACAAAGAAGGGCCACCCCTTTTGATTTGCAAGGCGTTCGGCCTGTTCTTCTGTCACCTCCGGCTCTGGAATGTCTGCGTGTGTGGCCACCAGACATATACACCGACTGCACTCAGGGTAGCATCTTATGGCTTCAGCCAACATGCAGATGGCTGTGTTGAGAGTCTGACGACATTGCAATGAGAAGAATACTATAAACCCAGACGCCCCCCGGTAGAATGCGTTCGAGACTGGTAGGTTCCCTGCAGTGTCCCAGAGTTGTACTTTCAGCTTCGAACCATCCTCGGACTGCATCGGGAAGACCTTGAACTTGACGCCTGTCGTCGGCCGATATTGCTGGGGAAAACCTTCGCGGCAGAATCCTTGCATCCAGGCCGTCTTGCCAGTCTCTGGGCCTCCTATAAGAATGCACTTCACCAGACGAAAGTCGGGCTCCGTCGCCGCCAAGTGGGTGTAGCTGGTAACGGACCTTCTGACAAGGCCTTACTTCCCCAATAAGCCACAGAAACAAAAGGTTAAACTTTCCGATTGCTACTAAACTACAAGAACCCAGAAAGAACAAAAGGTTAAACTTTCCGATTGCTACTAAACTACAAGAACCCAGAAAGTTTAAAGGTTGGGAATTACAAGAACCCAAAAAGTTTAAAGGGTATTGGAGAACTCAGAGGCAGAGATTGTCCTCTTCGGTGATTTTCAGCTCCGAGAGCTTCCGGGCGTGCGGGACCACCTCCGTGCCATGTAGCCTTGGCCCCTTTTTGGGACGGAAGGGAAACAGGCCACTTCATATGGCATCCCTTTTTAAACCAGCAGGAAACCCAAACCACAAAAGGCAAAAAATGTTACGAAGATAACCCTAAACCCCTAAACCCTAAAACACCAAGATTGGCCGAGTAACAGAGTGAGGCTTCCGTAGGCTCCCGTAGAAATGCTCTGCAGTACCGACCTTACAGTTCTGCTTCCAGGCAGCTCTTCCTCAAGAACGACCTGGAAACATGCTCAAAGTGAGGGTTTGGGGTTTAGGGGGTTTAGGGTTTAGGGTTTAGGGGGTTTAGGTGGAGGGTTTAGGGGGCAGCTCTTCCTCAAGAACGACCTGGGAACATGCTCAAAGTAAGGGGTTTACACTCTCACAACTCGGACAAGCAAAGTAAAGGGTTTAGGGTTTATAGGGTTTAGGGGCTTAGGGTGCGTTGAGAATTAGCATAGAGCTTTGCGGGTTTTCAACCCTCTCCGACCCAAGCCCAATATCCTAGAACGAAAACCCGAACCCTACAGGTCTAAATCGAAAGCCTGATCCTCTAAGCACCGAAACCCTAAACCCTAAACCCTTAAACCGAAACCCGAAGCCCTTTCCGCCTCGCCCGCCGGACTCAGGATCCGAATTGGCAGCAGCTCTTCAGCTCCCGGCTTTGAGGAATCTTCCTGCTGAATCTCTGCACCAGCACCTGGAGGGGTTTCGGTTTAGGGTTTAGGGTTTATAGGGATTAGGGTTTAGGGTTTAGGTTTAGGGTTTATAGGGATTAGGTTTAGGGTTTAGGGTTTAGGGGTTTAAGGTTCGGGCCTAATTTAGGGCTTAGCATAGAGCCTAGGGTTTAGAACGTAAGGCTCGAGGGCTGAGGCTCCTTCTTGACGTCCCGCTTGAGGCCAGAGAGGATCCGAAACTACCCTTGCAATGTAGGTGTAGAGCCGCATCAAGGGCTCCCATACAACTCTTTCCAAGCCCCAAAGCAAAAAAAAAAGAGGTGCAACACCCCTGCCAGCTCATGACCGAATCCTCTGAAAGTCAAGCAAAATTCATCGCAAGCGCAATCCAAACATCCTTGCAACCAACACCCACCTCCACCTGGACCTTTCTCTTTGGAAGAGTGTCCAGGTTCAGGTGCATTCCTGGGGTTGTGGTCGAAGGCATGTGGCTGCCGAACATAATGCGGCCCCTGAACCCTAAACCCCAACTTTGGGGCATATAGGATCAAACTGAAGGGTCTGGGGTCCCTGGGCTCATGGATGTGGAGTTTCAACGACTCGACTCGCGAAAACGTGGGCCCAAACCCTACGAAACCCGCAAAACCCTGAAGCCTGAGGCTACTCCTGAGCACCAATAAGACTCTCTAGCTTAAACCCCTAGAAAGCCCCAAGAAACCTGAAGAAAACGATAACAAAACATCAGCTCCACCCAGACCCAGCTTCTCACGCGTCGTCTCTGGCCAAGAGGGGGTCTCTCCCACACTTACTGCCATGCCTGCTGAAGTCTTGCCATGCGGCGAACCCATATTGGCCCCCCGGATATATCTTATTCAGTCAAAGTGCCGTGAGAATCAACATGTCCCTTTTTGCATCAGGACTTGTGCAATCGCCTGAATCAACATGTCCCTAAACCCTAAACCCCAAGCCTCCACTGAGAGCCATCCATGCCAGAAGTTGCAGAGGCTGGGGTTGGGACTCACTGACTGCTTTGCGGAGGATCTACAGCTTCTTGTCATGCCTATGGTATTGGGGCGAGAGCGCTTATGTAAGAAACTTCGAAATCATCACACAAAGCCTCAAACGCCTCAAATGCACAGCCTACCTTCAATCTGCGCTCAAAACGAAGCATCGGAATGCAGGAGGTGGCCCCTCGTTTCAACCCAGATTCGGGTTCTTCCTTTCTAAGGTAAAGAAGTGGGGTACTGCGAGGCTACTGTGGGGGGGCTACTATGTGGGCTCTAGTAGGAGCTAGGATGTTAGGGATTTTCAGGGTTTCAAGGTTTATTCAGGGTTTTAGGGTTGAGGGTTTTGGATTTTAGGGCTCAGGGTCTAGAGGTTAGGGATCCCACCACAATGTCCTACATCGAGACCCCTTGGGAGGAGGCTTGGAGGCTGGAGGCTCTGACAAGTCTACGATTCGGTTTGGACCCTCTCAAGTCGGAAACTGCAGTTTAGGGTTTAGGGTTTAGGGTTTAGGGTAGGGGCTACGGCTGATGATATAAACCCTGCATTACCCATAATCAGGAATATACCATGATTCCCGTAGTTTAAGGTCCGTAAGGTAATGCAGGATTTATATCATCAACAGCAGGGACCATTCTTCGAACAAACAGCCGTTGGCTTTAAATCCTATGATAGAAACCTCCAGCCGCCTCCACCCCTCCGTTTCAACAGTCCGCTCTGGAGCGGAGGGAGGGCTGGAGGGGTGGAGACGCAATACCACGCAAGACATACCGCAAGCACACCGTAGTAAGGCAGCACCGCGCCGTATCGATAGTAAGCTTAAACAGCCATGCTTACAGACTACACCCCTAAAAGTTAAAGCCCCTAAAACCCTAACCCCTGGCCCTAAGACCTCACAAAACCCCAAAGCAAAGTCTAAAGCCACGAGCCGTGACCCGATCAAAGGGGGCCAAACACAACAGAATGGGGTTCAATTACGTACTTCCCCAATAAGCCACAGAAACAAAAGGTTAAACTTTCCGATTGCTACTAAACTACAAGATCCCAAAAAGATTAAAGGTTGGGTATTGGGGAACTCAGGTTAGGGTTTTGGGTTTATAGGGTTTAGGGATCTGTGGTTTAGGGTTTAGGGGATAGGGTTTTGTGGTACACACAAAACTAGAAGTATAATCAGGCTCCCTTCGGGATCATTTCGCTATTCTGTAATTAGGGCTCCTTGCTTCAAAACGTATGATAAAACCCTTAGAGTTTAATCAGGGTTTAGGGTTTAGGGTCCCTCATAGTAACCTTTATAACTAAACCCTAAACCCTAAACCCTAAAACCCCATTCAAACTATGAAGGACCCGATATGAAACGCACCCCTCGGCTCGCTGCGTCACTGCGCGGCGTTATGGCCGTCGCCTGTGGAAAGGGTATCTCTTTTGCCAGGGTTTAAGGCGAATGGGTTTAGAGTTTAGGGTACTTTCGGCTTACAGGATCACAGACGCTGCTCATAGGCTTCCTGCGCTTCGAGTTCGAATGGAGGCAACAGATTTTCGTAGGCCCGCAAATGCAGCCCTTCAGTCAGGCCTGACGTTTCGAATGCCTGACTGTGAGGGATAGAGATAGAGATCTAGAGAGAGAGAGAGAGAGAGAGAGAGAGAGAGAGAGGAGAGAGAGAGAGAGGGAGAGGAGTGCGAAAGCAGCTGCCAGGCTTTCTAGGCTTATAAGTTCACATAGAGTCAAGGGAATGGAGCCTAGGGTGTAGGGTATACGGTGGAGTGAGGGTTGAAAAAAATCAGCACCTTCGTTTTGCTTAGGTGGTATTCCGGTTCATTAGGGCGTTCGAACACAACTCACAACTCCACCTTCGTCCATGTATCGATGCGCGAACGAAACCCGCAGGGCAGTCTTATATTGGTAGTGTCAGTGGTCGCAACGCGCAAAGTAGTAGTATGCTGCAGACAGTATCTAGTAGACATGCAGAAACCACGCAGGGAGTATTCTAGTCTTTCACCAGCAGCATTATCCAGGACACCTGATACCAGCGCTGACACTAGCAGTCACTAGCCAGAAAGAGCCTAAGCAACCTAACAGCAGCAATTGCATCAAGCGTGAAAGTGGAGGGTCCTGAAAACAAACATGGGGATCAAGATGCCCAGCAGTTGCACTAGTAGTAGCAGCAGCAGAAGCAGTAAGGGTAGTAGCGGTAGCAGCAGCCGCCGCCAACGTCGTCGTCGTCGTCGTCGTCGCAGCTGCAGGCACTCCAAGCAGGAAAGCGGACATCCAGACGCAAAGCCTAAAAACCTCGAGAACCCCGTCAGTAAGGCCAGAGATTCTATGCTCCTCCACCTCCTGTAGTCCCCGAATTTGACTTCCCCCTGTTTCAGCTCAACTCCTTGCGCGCGCCTTCGCCGGGCGCCGCAGGGGGACTGCAGCTTTGGCAGTCGACAAACCCACTCGCTCTAAATTCCTCGGAGGAGACGGGTCTATTCAGAAGAAGTTGCGCAGGGGCGCTAGATGGACTAGCACTCTCTTTCAGCAGGACGTGCTTGCTGCTTGTTCTGAGTCTAGCCGCCTCTAGACTACAAGCCACACTGCTCTCCGCATGTCTGAAATTGCTGTCTTGCTTTCCAAGGTTAGAAATCCTGGCAAAAACATCCGACTTTGTGGCACGCAAGTCTTCCATAAATCTCTGCAGCCACGGCTGCTACTATCTTAGTCTTAGCCTCTATAAAAGGTTCAAAGTTTCAGGACTCCGGATTAAGACACAAAGCTTCCAATATCTTTCTGATCTGAGGATGTCGCCTAGCTCGCTTGAAGCGGGTTCCCGGTCTTGAACTTCTGTCCACAGTTTAGGGTTTAGGGTGTAGGGTTTAGGGTTTAGGGTTTAGGGAGAAATGGAAACCCTAACCTAAACCCCAAACCGCCCTAAGCAAAAGCAGCTACATGCCGAGGGAGAGGCTCCAAGATATGCTCAGTGAGAGGTTGCACCTCGGCTGTCAGGGCTTACCCCTAACCCTAAACACTGTAATGTAGGGGCCGAAATAATTACCAATGCTATTTTGGGGGTTCCTTATCATAGTATAATGGGCCCCAAAACCCTATTCTAATGATTAAGGCCCCTATATTACGCGGAATCCTCCAGCTGCACCCTCCAAACCCTAAAGCACAGCTCAGAGACCCAAACAAAAGCTTGAGGTCGGTTGTCTGTGAGGACTCCTGGTCAAGGAAACTACCCTTCTTCCCCGTTTTAGTTTGGGAGTTCCGTGCACCAGCGCGCCCTTTTCCTTGAAGCGTGTAGTGGGTAGTGCAGGATACTCGATTCGGAGGGCGTGGGATGGGGGGGAGTTCGAGAAGCAAGCAGGAAACGGTGCATGCAGGAACCTTTCATATTTTTCAATACTGGTGCAAAGAAAATGCCTATGCCACTGCACGGATGGAGATAGGTAGAGTGTGTGCGTTTTTATCTACACATGTTGGCATACATGTGTATATATGTTTACACACATACATACCTGGTAGATGTGTAAACCTGTATACAAGGCAGAGAGATAGAGAGAGAGAGAGAGAGATAGAAAGAAAAAAAGAAAGATAACGAGAGAGACAGAGAGAGAGAGAGAGAGAGGAAAGAGAGAGCGAGACACGAGAGAAAGAGACGGGAGAGAGAGAAAGCGAGAGCGAGAAAGGGAAACAGCCAGCCAGCCAGCCAGGCAGACTGCCGGACAGACTCCCAGTCGTTTCGGGTTCACGATTTCCGATACGAAGGGCGTTTGCAGAACCCTCGCTGATTGGGCTGAAGACATCTATCTGAAGTGTGGCTTCCTCCAAGGCTTCCCCTGACGACCTAACAGATAATATATATATATATATACATGTATATATATATATATATATATATACATATACATATACATATTTATATATATATATATGTATATATGACACGAACTGCGGTTTAGAACAAACCCAATGTTCGTGGAAAGCCATGGGGCTTATCAGTTTCGCGGGTCTAGAGACCTAGCCGACGGTAAACTTCCAGCCTATAAATCGAAAACCTTTTAAGCGTTGAAATGATACTGTAGGCCCAAACCAGGGATAGGGGCTCTAGAGCAACCAGGTCCAGCGCGAAGGCTTGCCGGTACTGGATTTGGGATACAGGGTCTCGTAACATAGACTCCAACACCCTACAACTTGAAAGCGTTAAGGAGACAACAGGTTTCCCGATACGCATGCCCTGGACGGTTATGAAGCAAGCCCCGCCACCCAAAAACCAGAACACTAGTTCGAACACACAGCCAAGCCCAAACATGAAAAGCCAAACGGCACCTAAAGCACCAAACCAGTAGATAAAACCCGCACCCTGGGGCTTGCGCCATCTCTGGTTGCAGCTCATGCTCTTTGCAGAACTGGATGGCCAAGGCCTCTGCCTTGTCGCCAGGAAACTTTGTCTTTGCACTTTAGGATTCTGAGTTCGAGTTGGGGCCGCGCCTAAACACCCTTCACCCTCCAATGCCTTGCGGTTTGGCATTGTTGCTGAGGGTTGTCATCAAGAATTGAGGGAACTGAGAGCTTCGTGGCTGTCGATTTGGGTGCGGCAAAGCCTAACGAAGCCATCCCAAAACCCTAAAACCTTTTACACAGGCTTGATTGGAGCTCGCCTGGCCAAGTTCCCTCGCCCTAGACCCGGAACCCGACGCCATCCTGCGACATACCATCTGGTTTGCTCCTGGCTATAGGGTTCAGTTTTCGAAGCTCGAAGACCGAAATACGAAATACTCCAGGACTCAGAACTTCGATGTGAGGGCTTTTCAACGAAGAGTTTAGGGT